GCTGGAAAGATACCCACTTCTCTGCTAAAGATTTTAAAAACAGCACCACCTCCTGCACCTGGAAAGGTCTCCACTCCCCTGCCCAATGCCAAGAAACCAAATACTCCCACAACCACCCCTATGCTGACATTCACCACCAGTCTCTCACCACCACTAAGTTCAGTCAGAACTAACCCTGCCCCCCTACCCAGTACAGCACGGACAGCTCTCCCTCCTGTCAAAGTGACTCTAAGAGCAGAGAACAGCACATCGTCTGCTCCATATGCTCACCTGTCCGAAAGCACTCCTTCCCTCACTCACTTGTCATCTACACTAACCTCTCCCACTCCAGCTCCAGCTCCAGCAGTGGAAAACAACAACACAAAATCAAATGTTGACACAGACCTGAGGATTGCCACCCTAGTGTCAGCTACCTTTGCTCCCATGCCTGGCGTAACAGATGGGGAACAACTGTGGGAGGCAGCACAGCTTCTGGGTAGGTTACACCTCGTCTCATCTGTTGTGTGCTGAGCTTAATTCACAGTCAAAGCTTTTTTTGCAACCTGGGAGTTATAAGGTGGATGATGAGGAGTAGACTGTTTGTTTATCATTTATTGAACTGTTTATTGTCTCTCCACTAGATGTCTCTTCTTCCATTCAAATTCAAAGACGAGGTAAAACTGGATTTCCTCTCTATAACAAACGCTTTGTTAGTCAAAGCGCTATTTGTATATATTTGTATAGATTTGTACCTGTTTATACTGGAGCTAGTAGTAATAGTTATATCATATACAAGAATAGAATTTACTTAAAGGGGACCTATTGTAGTGCCCTGTACTTTTATTCTTGGATTCTAGAGTAGGTTAACATAAGTCTAAGTTTAGAATAATTCCTGTTCATCTTATACTGGACCTTGACATAGCTCTTTAATTTATCTGCCATCTGAAATCTGTTAATACACGCTTTAATTAAAGGCAAAAAAAAAAAAAAAACTTGACTGGCAGCACCTCAAAAACAGAAGGGTTCACTGCAAGTGGGCAGGACTAAAAAGTTAGGACACACTCGAGATTATGGACAAGTTTAATAAAAAAACCAAAATGAAACTCTTGTACATAGTGAACATACTGTAGTGGTCAGATATGCTAAATGCGGACATCCTGATCACTCTTTGGGTATCTTTATTTCATATCAGGACCAATTTCCTGGTTCAGTATGGCAAAGGAAGCTCAGCTTACTGCAGGTCACTGAAGAACTCAGCTGATGTTGTTGTGTTGTTGTACATTTTTCCTGTATTATCGAAAGCAGGAAATTTTGAAAAATAAGAAAATGCCTCACTTTGACCGAGTTCATCCAAAGACAAAGAAGGAGGGATGGACAAATAGGATGAAAAAAAATAGAAAGTGATAATTGAGCATAATAGTTCCCCTTCATAAAATTGTCTCTGGAAATTAAAGCATCTGACAACATTGGAGGGGAAATTATTCTCTGGTGGAAATGTTCGCTTTAAAGAATTAAAGAAATGCTTTATTTTCAGTGTTGAAGCAAAAACAACATATTTTATAATTGTAAGTAAGTAAGTAAAATTTATTTATATAGCGCTTTTCACAGATAAAAAATCACAAAGTGCTTTACAACACAGGAAATGGAAATATAAACAATATAACAGTAAATAAAACAAAATTAAACTATAAAACTATAAAAACAACATAAGAGGAAATTAATCAAATGCTTTTCAAAATTGTGTTATATATATTTTAAAATGATAAATTTGCATTTTAAAATACTGTACACAGTTCTTAGATTCAGTAACATTATCTAGCTGTTAAAATACACCATGACAACTATATATATCAGAATATAAATCAGTAATAATTTGCATATCTTTTCTATTAAATAGATATTGACCTGGTGAAAGGTAAGCATCATGATTAAATCATTATATTCTGTTATTTCTAAAATCAGCTCCTTTGGTGAGCAGTGCAGTGTGAAGTGAACCTGCTTTTCATACATTGTTTCCATTTCTCAGACTATGATGCAACCTATGAATATGATTACGATGACGATCAAGATAACTGTAAGTTTTCAATGTATATTGGAAGCAATACTCTACTCTCACTTACAACCTGAAATGTTTCTTTACAATACATGTCTGACTTATTTTCAGGGTATATTACTGACACTTTTGGTGAGTATTTGAGAATGCAAAAGCTGCATATAAAGTCATTAACTGTAAAGATGCTGCTTGCAATACAGTCCTGTCATTGGTTTCAGTGCTTGGGAGTGAGGAGGATTGTCCTTTAGCTGAATGTCTTGTGTTTTTAGAGCCTCAACCCAAAATGGGAGCCATCAGGGGATTCTCCTCATCAGGTTGAGTCAACATTTTATTTATTTTCTCTTTAGTAGGCCCTTAAACTAATTTCAGTAGTTAATGTATATACTAAATATTATCTTTTGCAGTTGATGGAGATCCTCATTTTGTGGTCCAGCTAGCAAAGCTTCACCAAAACCTGTGTTTCACAGTAGATGGCAGGGCTAATGATGTCCTCAGACTGCTGGAAGACCCAGAGAGAAGTATGCAGAGCAATAAGATCTATAATCTGACACTGTAATTTTGGTGTTTAAACGTCTACATATGTCTCCTTTCTCTTCAAGATATCATTGTAGATGGCCACCTAATGGGGGCTCCCTCCAAAGATGGTGTTGAAGACCGTTTGCGAAACTACTTTGACCAGCTCACAATCTCCGCGGTCACGGGCAACTCTGGTGACATCATGATCACACTCACGCTGGACGCTGTAGTTTTGGAAGGTGAAGGGCGGGATACGCTTCCCATCAATCAGCAGGGATCAGTGACGAGGCAAGGCGTGACTGTTACTGTGGACAACCACCAGAGCTGCTGGATCGAGCTGGCAGAGGGCGTGCAGTTCCTGGTCCTGTTCCATCATTATAAACATCCAAGCTACCTGCAGTTGGCTCACCTGGGCTTTTACATCACAGATGGGCGAGGGCTTTCTGACTCCACCCAAGGCCTTCTGGGTGCGTACACTGAAGCTTCCACTGAAAATGAATATGTTGTTTTGTTTTGGTACATATGGCATAAAACACTTAAAATACTTAATTGCAGATAAAAAGCTCCCACTTACAAAACCATTTTAAATACTACACTGTTGGCTACTGTGCCCAGTGGTTTAAAAGAAAGCTGGCCACGACATTCAATTTTCATTTCTTTAGATGTGATATCAGTTATAGAAAGAGAGTTGTTGTATTCAGTCTTACTAGCTTAAAAAAAGAAGACAACTGGACTTCTTTAGTTTTCTGGAAGATGTTTCATCTCAGCCAATAGTTCCCTTGAATGTAATAAAAAAATAAATAGCAAATAAACAAAAATATTCAGGATCAATATCTCCTTCCTGATCTGATTACTAGAAAAAAACCTGCAAACCTCACTGTCAACAGTTTAATGTACAACCTTTCTAATTTCTACCATTGCCAACCTAAACATCAGCTAACTAATGCTACAAATGTTTAAATCCCATCGCAACCGTAAGTGTCAGCGTAGGTTCTCAGTCATCCAGGTTAAGGTAGTCTAAGGAGCTAATGGGATTTGGGGTTAGTATGTCTCTTTGCTTAATCATAGACTCTATATAAAAGATTATGTAGCCACTATTACCATTACTTTGAAGCCTGTTGTTGACCATTTTTACTATTTTATTTGACTATTTTACCATTTAAAGCATTTCATCATCATAGTTTTTTGAAGTATGATGCATCATTAATAATGTAGTGGACCTGACAGTGGAAATGGGGGCTGCTGCATATTCATACTGTACTGACTTGTCAGCCAACTCCAGTACTTGATGTGATGATGACTGTTTTGTAATATACCAAACAAGCATTATGTAAACAATCTCTTGTACACATGGATTTTAAAACTTTTAACAAAAGAATGTAGCACACTACAGAAGGCCTTACTTTTTAGACTCGAAGACACTTTCCATCTTTTATGTACAGTCTATGATCTTAGTGTTAAATGTAAATGATAAATAGAGCAATCAAACGTGCTTATTTACTCAATCAAGTGTCAAAAAATAATAATCGGATACCTCAAATTTATAGATGAATACAGGAAGTGAGTTTAAGTTGTTACTTCTCATCATTTCTGTCCTTTATCCATCTGCAGGCCAGTTTCAACGTGCTGACATTAATATAACAGTGGTGAAAGACTACGTGGATGAAGGTCTTCATCGAGTTAAGAAGGAACAAATTCTGGCCAGAGGGATCCTGAGGTGGGGATCAGAGCAAATGCCAGTTACCCTGCAAGACAAGACGCTGAAGGACTCGGTGCAAAAACGCCACCGAAGCAGCTGCTGGGTGGTGCCCAAGACAGAGATAGAGAGACTACTGGGTCATTCGTATGAGAGCTACGTGGTGAATCATGTGTAATTCTAGCCGAGTCATTTCCACCATGTTGTCTGTTTGCTGCACAGCTCAAGTCACAGCAGGTAATGTGGATAGGTTATCACAAAAGGATGAACCAAAGCTGGGATCCAACTGGGTTAGTTGCCTGAATGGTATTCTGGAAGGGTGGGACAGATTACAGACTGCAAAGAAAAGTTTCCTGTAAAGAAGTAAATACAGCAAAGGATTGAATGGTGCCCTTGTTCCATCTCCACCACTGAATTTGAACCAGATTCAAGCTTCGTATCTATGACAGAGACGCAATGTACTCCTGGTCGCATGGCAACTACAAAATATCCAATGGTTGCTGCAGCAGTTTGCGCATGCTCCAAAATGTCTTGCAAAACAACCCTGTTTACAAGTTGTTTATCAGATTATTCTTATATTTTATGATTGAATTTTTGATAGTCAAAAGCCATCTTTCAGAATTACTTGTAATCATAGTGTAATTCAATAAGTTGTATTTTTAGTACAAGTGTATATAAAACATTAATGTATGTATTTGTGTATAGATAAACTTCCCGTGTCAGCATTGCATCTTTAATAAGCAACACAAATCAGCCTTTTCCAGGTTTGCCATGTGCTTTTTATTTTTCTGTCATTTCATTCATAGTTTAATTCATTTTATTTGTTACACAAGACATTAGGCATTGTTCACATACTAGTGATCAAACAAGGACAGTAAGTTTTCTACTACTCAGTCTATTTCTTTTGTCAATTTCAAGGGATATTTGTCAATAGTGGTTTTCAAAGGCCATACTAAACAGTACAACCACACATGAGGCTTTTGTTTTCAATAAATAAAAAAGAGGATAGTATCTGATGCTGAGGAAGGGTGGGTGGGGGGCTTCAGATATATCTATGTTCAAGAAGTAAACAGTATTCCAGTTATCACCAGATAATGTGTTTCCAGGATGAAGAGCACACACAATGTTAAATGACGCACAGTGCGAACACACAGCTGTATCGATTTTGACTCCAGATCTATGACTGACTGCTGCTGTTGTCCCTCCATCAAAACCTGTTTCTTAGGAATGCTAAAAATCATTAAATCCTGATGCAACACTGGAATGATCACTAAATTAGGTAAACATAACACATGACACAGCAAATAAACAAACAAAAGAAATCGGTGTGCATAACGTTTTAAATCCATTTTATCATCAGAACGTAAACTATTAGCATAGCATATTCAGCATTTGACGTAAACCCTTCCACGATACGTCAGCGAAATTCAAATAAATAGAGCTCAAAGATAAGACACATCAACACCCCAGACGCGATAACTTTGTTTAGAGTTGTCAAGGGGTTGGTCGCGGTGGATAAAGTGAAATGGAACCGCTTCAGTTTTCAGTAAAGTAAAATGGATCGTAGCATCTCGTGTTTGTTTTGATCCATAACGAGCCAAGCCACAGATCAATCTGACTGCGAGTGTGCACTGTAGAGATATGAGGAACTGTCTCAGGTGTACAATAACACCTCTGACTCGGTAGGAAACAGCATCCTCTCTATAGTGTTCAGCCAGCTCTGCAGAGCAACATACACCACCAAACTTTTAATGTCAGCGAGCTTTGCCAATAACAGAATCACCAGTTTTGGCACAAGACTGGCCTCCCACTACATGTTAGTAAAAACAAAGCAGTCAATGTTTTGAATGGGTCCAAACATTTGAATTAGACCCAAAATGAAGGCTACAACCAAATAAAAGCATCTTGGTTCACTCTCATGGGGCGGCACTTGGAACTGTGGTTTCATACTTATGCTATGCTACAGTCTTTTGAAAATTTCTTGCTTTTCCCTCTATGTCACACTACAATTTTTTTCTGAGTTTTAATCCCAAGGGTAATGACTTATCTCAATGACAAACACAAGGGTTGAAACAACCAAGACACAATCTGGTGCTTCCACTGAGAGCCGAAATTTCAGTCTTCACTCTCTTCCCCCGCAAGTGAAACTTCGCCAAGACAACAATCTCCTCACATACATTCTTATCCTTCACCATTTCAAAAATCTTCCAGATCTCTTCACAGAAACCCTCACCTAACACAAGACAAATCCTCACCATGCCCTTTTGCCCCAATGTTCCCTTTTTCTTGTAAATGTTCAACTCGAAGACCACGGTTTCATCCTCTGCTCTGTAAACTTCATAACTTCAGCCAGTGAAATGTGCACCAAGCATATAGAAATAAAACTCTTCAATAATTTAAAATGTTAGAAAGTAAACTATTCAAATTCAAAAGTGACATCACACAACAGAGATAAACAAAGAAACTTTTTTTGTGTTTTTCTTTTTCAGGAGGGAAGGGTTGACAGTTAGTAGCCACTGATTAGCTTGCCTGCTAGCACAGGAAACACAACAGCATTGCAAAGTGAGCACTATCAGCTGACAGAACAGCCCATTTATATGTAACTTTTCATCACATTTTTTTGTTTTGTTTTTTTTCTGTTTTTGCCCGACCAACAGATTTTGCCAAAATGAGCGGCATCTATTGAAGAAACACAGGTAAAAGACCAAGTAAGAGAAAAGTGAAAGCAGGGTTGACAGGAGTGATGCGTGGAATGGTCCAGCCTTCATACCGCAGTGTCATTTGAATCTATGTACAATACTACTGTGTGTAAAAGATGCATGCACGTCCACTGGAGGTGACCCTTCCAGAGGATTCTACACTAAGCCGTTACACATCTCTCATGTCAGAGCTATCTGTTGAGACCTCTCGGTGCCATCAACCTTCCATCGACCCAACCTCTGATATGAGGAGAACGATGTTACAGGAGGAATGAAATGCTTTGGAAATTGCCAACAACAAGTAATAAATTCACCTCTAATGATAATAGTTAAGACATGATTATACTGTAAATTCTACAATGGAATGAAAAACCATATCAACCCTGCTTTTCAGTGACAGAGAAAGGGAATGTGAGCATTTGAAAAGCGTGTATGTGTGTGTCTGTGAGCATTTATGTGTCTGAATGCGTGCCAAGAGAGGGCGAGAGAGAGCGACACGAGGAGGTGGAGGCAAACGGCTGAAGACGGGCTCAGAGGCTCAGACGCACACCCTCTCCACCACTCTCACATTTTACCCATTTTGCTTTTAAAGCACTGTTTAGGCAGCCCCGGCCCTCTACTGAAAGCCCCGTTGCCTCCAGTTTTGCATCCACCTCCTTTCCCAGCCTTGCCCTCTCTCAGAAGCCCCCCTCTCTAGCTCACTGCTCATCCTCCCCAAACACATCGTTCTGTTTGCGTTTCATGTTTTCAAAGTCAAAGTCGCTCCCGGTCGTACGTTTGTAGATGTCCTTGATGTCATTGCAAGTGGTCTCGAAGTGAGTGGTGGCATCGTAGGACCTTGATGCGAAGATCTGAGGAAAGAGTTCAATAACAAGAGTTAGATTTTACAGCATTGCTAGCAGGTCTGTGAGGCTGCAGTGCTCATTTCCAGCTTCACATTTTTATTCAAAAATATACAAAAGTAGCTTTGCATGATCCTTATTTATTGTCATACCAGGCCTCTGTGCACCTGCACAGTTTATCTGTTTGAAACAAGCAGATCTATCTCCCATCTCCTAACAAAGCTTTGTAAATGACTGAAAACAGAGGGTTTAAACACAACACAGCTCTGTGTCTAATATGAACATATTAGGGATATTCACTCATAGTAACATTATACAGAGGCAAGAGGGGAAAAAAACTCTGAATCTGATTGTTTAGAGCAGTCTGATGCTTGCAGCTAAAATTTCAAGCTGGCACCTAAACGCCTCACATGCACATACAAGCTGGCTTCAAAAGTGAGTCAATCCCCACAGCCTCCTATTCTAACATTTTAGAGCAGAAACAAATCTGGGCTTTATTTAAGGTCTTTTGGGCTATTTTAAAAACAATTAACTGTCAAATATCTTGCATTTAACTGTATTAAAAGCGCTATGCATTTGGTGAGTGAATTCTATCATTCTGTATGGAACTTAGCACTAATTAGCAGGTGTCTGCATCTATTTTATGTACTCATAGTTTATGGGTGCCTCTTGCTAACCAAACTTGTTAACCCAAGTTTGGTTAGCAACCCATTTATGGGTCCAAAATAACCAAGCGGGCCAGCTGTTGCCCATAAAATTGAAGCTTCCAAAAAGGAGATCACGATACAAGTGACATCACTAGATCATCACTACAGCCATCTTCTATGGACAGTCTATGATAGAATGATAATTACCTATCTAGTACAACATTTCTTTGCAACAAACTGGTCAACTGACCCTTCAACTCAGCCGTATTAGTTGTGGCAGCATATTAATTTGTTATATTGTAAAATACAATATTTTTTCTGGATGTTACCCTTGGAAAAAATGTCTCACCTGGCTCTCAGTACCATCATCTGTGGGCTCATAAAGGTCGCTAATAGCCACAAACCTGTGGGGAAAAAAATGTGATTTATCCCAGTTATATATGCACCCCCCACCCCCCCCTCATGTAACTAAAAACATACATGAATTTGAATAAGCAAGAAGTAAAATGTGGGACTCACTTTTGGTCGATGGGCTCCAGCAGCTCCAGAGCTGGCTCAATTTCATTCTCAGGTTCACTGGTTTCCACTGTGGTGCTGACAATAGCGATGTACTTCCCCTGGGCCGCCACGTTGTGAGCATAGGAGATCATGCACACATAGATGTCTAAAGAACAGACAAAGGAGTTAACAGGAAGAGATGGTTAAATCAAGAGTTAACTTCAAGCAGGATTAATTGACGTTTTTGTCCACTTGGAGGCAGCAGGAACGAGCTGTATACACACTGACACGTTATCGTCCCAGTTGAGTAAACAGTTGCCTGTTTATATAAGCATTCATCTGGAGTCATGTTTCTAGCCACCTGCTGTGTGTCTCATATCTCATTTCCTTTAGCTTTGCTTTTGTTTCCATAACTTTTTAACAAAAAAAAAAATCTCAGGGTTGCTCCAGTATATGCACAAGTTACTTTTTTAAATTGTCTTTCTTCTTCTTGTTGTCAAGCAAGTTGTCTATAGTGCTTATTTTCCTTCCTTCTTTTATTTTTTCCAACTTTACTGTTTAAATCAGGTGAGTAACAGTGATAGTAAATCAAAACAGTACAACTGAAACAATTAGCAGAAAGGTGCTAAAAGGCACCGTGGAGCTAAGGGCAACTGCAGAGCTCATCACTTCTAGTTTGTCACATTTAACATGGAGTCTGATGTTTATTGATTAGGGATGTTAAAAAATAATCTAAATTTAATCTGTAGGGGACTAAATCTGCACCATTTCTTTGAAGAATAAAAAGCAGAAATATTGAATATAGAAAATATTGCTCACCTGAGTTGCGATTAACCTGATTCTGAGGAATGATGATCTGACAGGAGTTGGCATCATTAGTGTTTTTGATGGGATGGCTGAGGATGCAGATCACACGGATCACCTGACCCGCTTTACGGACACGGTCTGGGATGTAACTAGGGTCGCAAATGAGCTGCTTACAACGAGCCACCTGCAGTGGGAACGAGACAGTAATGATGTGAGTCTGCTGGCTAAGTGCATTTGGCTGAATAAACCTTAATCGTAACCACTTTAACATTTGTAATGATACTGTTAAACTTGTGTAGCTGTGGACAATAAGGCAGAATCTGCTTTACCTCGCCCTCAGACTTTACTCCAATCACTTTACCACCTTCCATCACGATCTCATCCACAGGTTTGTTCAGCATGTAGGTTCCTCCATAGATTGCACTCAACCTAAGATTACAAACGAGTATGATCCGTTAACTCGAGGAGTGGTTTTGATAGTTATGACAGACTCCATCATAAATATCAGAAGTTTAATTTAAGTTAAAATACCTGGCAAAGCCCTGTGGCAGTTCTCCCAGACCATAGAGGGGGTAGAGATAAGGGCTCTTGCCATACCGTGCCAGTGATTCACTGTAGAGTTTGATACGGTTGATCGTCTCCAAACAAGGAACATCAAGATAGCTGAAGTGGAGCAAAAGCAATGTGAGAACCCCATTGGTATCTGTTTAAGCACATAATAACAATAAACCCTTGGTATTCCCTGATAAGAACATCTGTGACTCATATTTGAAAGCATGCAACTGTGATATTAAGCAGAAATAAACAATTAAACGGTTGATGATGGGTGATGTTGTTCTTACTCATCTGTCCTGTAGAGGGCCAGGGCGTGGCCAGTGAAGTCAATGACATCCTGACCGAGGTCAAACTTCTTGTAAACGTCCCTCATCGTTGTGGTTTTAGGGTCCACGCCCTCAAAGGTCTTGGGGTCATTCTCATCAAAATTGGCCACAAAGACTAAAAACTTTCGAAACCTCCTCTTTTCAAACATTCCCATCAGATCTGTGAATTCAAACCGAGGTTTCAGCACTCTACTGTCGACATCATCGCGTGCAAAATGTAATGAGACAACATTCAGGTGACTTACTTGAAGCTAGTGCCTCAGTCTCAGTTGATGGCACCTTGTAGATCTTTCCTCCTTTGTAGACAAAGCTGCCTTCCACTACTTTAAAGTCCAGATACCGTGTCACTTCTGTGTATAGCAGCATCTTTACAAGCTGACCTGCAATCAGGGAGGCAAACACACGCAACATCTTACAGGCTCTGTGTTAAATCCACACTACATATACAACATAACCACAAATCCCTTGAAAGCCTACAACATAACATGCTGTAACATGACGCTCACCTCACAGGAAATATAACTATATGTCGCGTTAACAAATCCCACAGCTATTGTATTTCGCCTGCTTAGTCTGGTCGATTCCTCCTATGCATTTCCAGCTACTTTTTTACCCTAGTTTTTGAATGGATCACTAAGAGGACAACAGCCACCGTCTTAATGTAAGAACTCAGAAATGTCATCAGATTCCTGGTGGGGGATTTTGAAAATTACTAGAATAAATATGAGGAAATGCACAAAAAAGTGGAAAAACTTCATGGACAAATATGATGGCCTCTGAAAAAATACTGATTGGAACAAAGATTAAAGGCCAGGAGAGAAAAAAGTCCCAGCATTTTATTTGTTCCTGTCACGAATGGCACTGCTTATAAAACACCAGGACATGGTAAAACACCACCCACAAGCATTAATGCTGGCAAAGGTGTTGGCCACTTAAATAGGTTACATTGCCAGGTCTCCAGAGTCACCTAAACAAGCAGTTAGTGTGTGACCAACCTTGAAGAATTAAAGCATTTTGCAGTCACAGTATTAAGCTCCAGAATTACCCTGTTGAATAGTCTGAAGCCCTTTGGCTCTTGTGTACTTATCACGTGCTAACTTTTATGGCATTTCTTTATATAATTAGCAACAGGATTCTAACCGTTGGCCATGAGAAACTTGGGTATGAGGTCAACGTTCCAGTCACGTCCTCTGCCCATTGACTCAGGTGGGGTATCTGGCAGACTGAAGCGCTTGTACAGCTGTGGAAAAGGAAAGGAAAGCCTGTGAGGCCCATCGAATCTGAGGCTTTACAGATAATAAAGCAGTTAGCAAATGAAGACAGTAAACGGGTGACAGATGGGACTTGAAGTAAAATGAGATATACTGAGAAACATTAAAAGTTTATTGATTGGTTTTATAGATCCCAGAAGTCCTTACCTCCTCCAGGGGGGTAATGGAAGAGCTCTCCCCACCGTAGTAGGGGTTTCGGTCCATGTGCAGAACCTTCTTGCCATTCACGGACATGATCCCAGACAGAATGCATTCCTGCACGAAAACGGATTTATTTATCCAACACATCAATCACATCAATAACTCTTAGGTATAAAACAGCCCTATAATAAATCCTTCTCCTGTCAAGGCTCCAGTGTTTTAGAGATGTGTTGAATCATTCATTGAGGGGTGTAGTTTAAGTTGTCAAGATGAGAAATGTTTCTAGTATTTTGGTCTAGACCTTAGCATATCATTAGAGATAGGCACGCTGCTTAGTTTAGACACTGAATGTAAATGGAAGTAAGGAGGTTCTGACAGAAGGATGCGGGGGACAGTGGAAAAGATGTACGCATGCGTGATTGCATCGTCTTAACAACGTAGCTACGATAATAATAATACTAATACTAATAATAATAATAACAATAATGTAATTAAAAATGTATTACATAAAAAATAAAAATTGTGTGGATATGCATCGTTGTATTTGATTCCATTTATAAAACTACCAGAATATCCGCTTCCGTGTCTGCAAAGAGCTGGGAGAATAGCACAGAAAGCGCACTTCTGCCGCAGAGGGTGTGATGAGTGAAAGGAAAGTGCGGCGATAGTGGCAGCAGTGAAAAGCTCTGTCATTTAATAAACCGGAGCTCAGGCCTGCGCCAACCTCAGGATGGAGGCCTGCCTATGCAAAGAGGACCATGACACACTGTAGGGTTACGCCTAAAAGATGCTGCTGGGTGTAACACAACACTGCGCCGGCTGTGACTCTGGAAAGCAAACAACTCCCGGTCGAGGAACTATTTTCTTCTCGTCGTGTACAAGCAGATCAGCTGGTGCGGTTTATTTCCAAAGAGCATCTCTTGTGATACATTTCTAATGTGACACGCACGCCGGGAAGCAAGGGGCTTCCACTCTTTGGCTAGGATAGAGGATATCGGGCCACTGATCTGGCTAAAACCATCTTTTGGGAAGCTGACAGAATCAATTCGGTGTGTTTCTGTGCAGACAAAACGAAGCTTGACTACTCACTGTGAGTCCGGTGCCCAAAACGATCACATCATATTCCTCATCCATGTTGTCTCACCGCCTCTCCCGTCTCGCCCTCTTTTTGCCTTGAGAAATGAAGGGTATTGAAAGCAAATAAAATTGGTTAGTCCACAAACCGGGTAACTGTCTCTCACTGTCTCTGCACAGGTCCTTTAAATTGCTCTTCAAAGTAAAATATTATTTATTAATCATTGGGTATAAATGGCCAATGGAATACACAGTCCACACTGTCACCGGCGAGGACGACCAAAGATGGCCCTGATCGTGGAGCAGTCTAGAACAATGCCACTGCGCGTCGGCAAATAGTGCGCATCCTCCTTCCCTATTTCCCATCCTGCCACACAATGGACTCAAGCTGCAAAGCGAGAGACGCCGCTTTGAGCCGGCTTTGGCGATTGTTTATTTTGCACACAGGCTGTGCTGTTGTGGAGTTTGGCTTTTGTTTTTGGCCATTTTGAAACCACAATGTTTGTGTTCTCTAATTTCTTATTCTATCTTTCCTTCCCAGTTGTAGGCGCAGCGTTGCGTGGATGAAGGCAGCGATATCCTTCCGCTGCTACAGCTGTGTGGATGGGAGTTGCTTTCACTGACTGAGCGCACGCACTAGGCCTTTACAGCAGGGGTGTTTCCAAGCTTTTCTTCTTTCTTTCTTTTTAACGGGGTGGTACAGGGGTGTGGGGTGGGGGACCAGGAGTATGGCAGGGGGTCGTAATGTTTGATCGGATTTAAATATTATTAAAGAAAAGTGTCTTTTCTGCAGCCCTGTCTCCCAATAAAGACGGTGTTACAAGAAAAGCAGTGCTGCAAAAGATTTGGATAACCTTTCTGCAAAGTGGCTAAACAAGCATTTAGGCCTCTTTTTTAAGTAAATGTCACATTCCTATTTAAGTAGTCTGTTTTGGCTGTGAAACGCTACCTACAGTCCCAAGTAGCTAAAGTAAAAGTATTTGTTATACAGAGTTAATTATGCAGTCATGATCACTGAATGATTAATATATTGTCCTTTTTATGTTACCGTGATGTTGAGGTTTATATATGCCTTACATTTGATAATATCACATAGGAGTTCAGCAGTAAGATGTTAGCATAATTATGCTTTTTGGGACAGGTAAAATGATAAGTAACTACAGCATTAACATAACTGTTATTAGGCTACTGTTTATTTAATTATTAGTAATTATTCATCTCTGGCTCTCTTCCACAATGAATCTTTTGTCCTGGCTTTCTCCCATCACACCAACCCATTGCAGCACATGGCTGCCCCTCTCTGAGCCTGGTTCTCTTGGAGATTTCTTCCTGTTTAAAGGGAGTTTTTCCTTCCCATTGACACCAAGTGTTTGCTCATAGAGGGTTGTTGGATTGTTGTTGTTGTTTTTTTATTTTTTTGAGGAGTGGCTTTTCAATTAAATAAATGTTTAGACTGATTTATTTATCTATTTATTATTTACTCAATTACTTATTTGTAATTGTTAGGACATGAAACAAAGAGGGAATTTAACACTTTAACTCTTAAACGCTTAAGAGTATCTTGGATAATTAGTCTACGCCCTAAATGAAAGTGTGAAAAAAAGAAAATATGAATATAAATGAAGTAATAATGGAAGACTGCCGTATTTGTTTAAACGCACACACATGCACACACAAACACACGCACACCATACTTTAAAGAATCAATTGTTCTGCTAAGCAATGTGGTCAGCTGGTGGTACTGTAGCGGTTTCTCTCCTGGAAATGCTCAACTGAGAGCAAAGCTGTAGTGTGTCATTGGTGTCAGCAGCTGCTGCGGGCTGTTCGGGCTGAATGAAACAAGCAGGAAGTCATCTCTTCAGCACATGACTGTCAGGTGGTGTGGGTCACGTGAGCATAGAGTTACGGAAAAGTCTAAACGAAAATGGCAGGTTCGAGGAGCTCCACTCGGTTAATGGGTCTTTATATTCTACTTTTCGCCCCTTTTTTCGCCTTGGGGAGCGCCACGTCTCAAGTGCCTTTTCTTATGTGGTCCAGTGAACGGTAATATTTAGTTTTTCTTACTTATTCAGCAAAACTCACTTTAACTACCGGCAAAGTTATCTTGTATGCTAACTCGAATGCTAACTCTTCTAGCTACTTTGCTGCCCAACCTATTCAAATTCAAATTTTATTTGTCACACACACACACAACCATACACAGTATGACATGGGGGTGAAATGCTTGTAGCTGTGCAATTCCCGACCATTAAATGACAGAAAAAGATTTATAGCATTTACAATTTACAGGTTACTACACAAATTTACAAATTAACTTAAATTTACAGCAAACCTAGCAAACACCAATCGTTTAAAGTCTAGATGCTAAATATATAGAGGAGTATTTACACATAAATTGTAGAGATTTGCTTGTGCGTTTTGTTACAATTTGTTCATAATGGCCATCCTTTTATTTCTTAATTTTGAAATAACCCATAGAAGTAACGAGTCTCCCTGATTTAACCCCTAACCTGACGCTCTTTAGCACTAGTAGATATGTTTATTCTGTTGTTGTTGATCTTCATCTGCAAAAAGCAAAGTAAGCTGTAACATCAAACACATTTACACTACAGACAGTGACTTTTGCTAGGGTACTGCACTTCCTTATGATGATGCACACAGGAGTTTAAAATGTGGAAGTATACTACTGTATGAGGTGGTGTGTTAAGCAGGAGGACAAAGCAAGGTTGATATACCAAAATAGTTTTCTTTGATGATAGGATGAATATCCGATTCGTTATTTTTATTTTTGTTGTTGTTATTTAGACATTTCTTATATATGTGCCAGCTTTACAGGAAACACAGGTTTGTTTGGGCCTACTCAAAGGATTCATTTGATTGACTAATGGGTCTCTTTTAAAAATGAAGTACATAAAGCCATAATAAAAGCCGCTGGGATTTTCAGCATTTTCAAAAAATGTGTCAGTGCAACTGAACCACTTAATATCACAATTCATCTTTATTTTTTTTTTCTTTATGTTTAGCTTGCCACCACTGGCCTCACCTACAGCTGGTCATATAGCATCTTATGAGCAGCTGAGTGCCTACCTCACCTCTGCCTTCAGCTCTGGCTCCCACACCGTGCTGCTGTTCTTGCAGGACAAGGTCAGTACCTGACACATAAACTAGATTCTGGCCCTGTAATGAATATGTTTATGTCACTAAATTGTTCACCATTTGTTGATTTGAAAGCTAGTCATTTTATATGCAAGTTGTGCAAAATGGGGTAGTTGTACTGCATTCCCATGTGACACTGCAACAGTGTGGTGTGACAGTGAGTTTTGGCATCACTTCCCATTTCTCTGTTCCTCTGTGATACATTGGGTCTTTTTTGTGGTGGTGGTGAACACTCAGTGTTGTGACTGAGCCATATATTTATATTTTCCCATGTGATATTTTTAATCGTGACTGTAATCGTCATGAAATTGTCATTGTAAATCCTCTATGACTTTTAATCAACTACACAAGCACAAACAAGATATTCCTTTAGATGTAGCTTGCGTGAAAAGTATGAACGTGACAATGATTTCATTCCAGTTTGTTGTCAATTGAGGTATCGTGGAGCCGCCAGTTCACTCATATTTTGGCACACTAGCATACTGTCATGCATACACACAACAAGTCACTCAAACAGACATTAAGATTTGAAATGTAGTTTTTCCTAGTATTACTGAAACAAAGAAAATGAAAGAAGTAGGAGATAATAATTGTCCAAATTAATGTAATTTGTACAGGCTGTATTTTTTTTTAAGAATGATAAATACAAACTGAGCCATTAAAAAAGAATTCCGTTAAAATAATGTCTGATTATGAATGGCATTCAGTCAATTTAGCTGCTAAATTAATTGCTCGTGAGTTAATGGGACTGGTAAATGTTTTAGTTATTAAAGTCTTCCTGAATTCAAGAATTATTTCCTTTTTTGTATTTAGTTAAGCAAAGATGACTTCACAGTCTTTGGTGGCGTATTTGGGAATAAGGAGGATAGTGCCTTTAAAAACATTGAGGTATGTTTTTATAAACTATATGTTAGTCCAAAATTAATATAGTTTTTTCCTAGACAAACAGACTGATAATTGTGCCCACTTGATCCTTTTCAGGATGCAATGCAGTCTTCTACCTCAAAAGTGACACTGCCTGCCTTGGAGTGGTCTGGTTCCTTTAACATGGCAGCTCTGCTGCAGGAGAAGCTCGGTGTTTCGCCTGTGCTCGTCGATGCAGACACTCTCTCACATCTGACTATCAAAACGTCTGTCAGCAACCTCCTGCTCATCAATCTTCCTTATTGTAGCAGGTGAGATTTTGTTTTGTTCAAAGTTATATTGAATAATCAGTTATCTGTTTTTAATTAATACTTAAAGTCTATTATTTTTAAATTGTTTTGTAGCTTACAGAAGTCATGCAAGGAAGTCCTACATGAGAATGGTATGTTTTTAAGTGCTGAGGATTAAAAACATTTATAACTGTATATGACATTTACAATTACAAACATGTATAATTGTAGTCAGCATTATATGTTATATTTTGATTTGTATATAATTTGAATGCATTTTGCTGTCAACAGATGAAATTATTGGAAAAGTTCTGAGTTCAATGAAAGCAAAAAACATCCCATACACTGCAATATACACAGGATTCCAGCCATCACGAGTATGTTTTTAAAATTAGTCAAAACGTGCCACATTATAACACATTCTCAATGTTTGGGTATTTTTTGAGAATGAACAACATTTTGATAACTTTGCAGGTGATTTCAGAAACCCCGATTTCTGATCAGCCAGTGGGTCGGTCCTTGCTACAAGCAGATGGACCTGAAGTTAAGCCTCCCATCATGTTTAATGTATCTGGTGGTCCCTGCATAATGCTGTGGGCTCAAAATCTCACTGTCAGACTGAGTCCGAGCTCACCATGGATCGACCTTGCTCAGGATGTACCTTCCTTTGTTGGATCACTGTGTAATGGCAGTACCTCACGGTAAAGTGGCCTTTCATTATTTCCCAAAGCAATATCCAGCCTGTGATGAGTTTAGGTTTTTTTTTTTTTTGTTATTTAAAGAGAAATAATCAGTTGCATGTTTTATTTTTTTCTCATTTCAGGCTTGTGCTTAGTTACCAATCAGGCTTTAGATTAAGGTAAGGCAAAAAGTTGCTTATTAAAGATTCAATATTGTACCTTTTCAATTAGTTAATAACTCTAACATGTCCCCAGGATGTGCTTTTCAATTTTGTGCTCAATGTACCACAGCAATAGTATTTCTATGTATTTGTATTTACTGTTTAGATATCATGCTCTACACACCTGCTTTTCCAAACCGGTTCTTTCAGTGTGTGTGGCTTTAAATCTAGCTGAGCCGCTGCTGCTTCTGCCCACACCCTGTTTAAAAAGAAGTTTGTGAGTGACAGTGTGTACTAATGGGTGCAGCACAGTGCTGGCATGAATGAGGCGTTCTGTTGCTTTGCTTTCTCTAAGAGATCACTTTGTTCTACAATTGAAACACAAAATGACATTTACCTGACATTTAAAATCTTGGAGTCAACAGCTGGTCATTTGGTTCACTTTGTTTGTAGCTGATGCATTTTAGTTATTTTTATTTTGCACACATCTTGGAAGCAGTGAGCAGTGGGGGTTGTCACTATGGACATTTTAGCTCAAGGACTATTTTCTGTCTAGTTTCAACATAGAAACTTACACAACTAGGAGGACAAGCCTTTGTGCAAGTATTAAGCAATTTAATGTTTTTACAGCTTATCACACAACAGAGTTCATAAAATGATCATCTTGAGGCATTTTTATAAATAGGGTTGCTAAATTAATGTGGATTTATGTTTAAGTGATAAATGGGATCTTCCTGTTTAATTCTTAGTAAGAACGCATTTCAAAAAATGAAGTATTTTGTTGAAATTCCTGAAATCACGGCTTCCATTTGAAGACAGTTCTCTTTTTCAAAAACAAAGTTTTCTTGTTTTCTAAAAAGGCAAAAATAACTTTCTCAATCTCTGCAGTAGAGATATTATTTCCATGTAATGTAATATACTATATTTTTAATATCACTGCTAGCATCAGTTTATTTTAAAATCCTTCACGGATATGTAAGAGTTTAGAACAACTATTTTGGAAAGAATAGTTAAACAGTGATTGTGCTTTTTACACTGATACGCTTTCTGACCATCCTTCTCTTGCTGATCTCCAGTTTTTCAATGAGCAAGCGTTTCTATTCTGTCTCTGCACGAGAATGGTTCTCCCTGGATGCAGTTGAGCTGCAGTACGCTAACCTCAGTGCATCTTACATCGCGAGCCGTGACATCTATGCTCCCGCAGAGTATTCCTTTCATTGCCAGTCTGTCGCCAACTTCGGAGATATCCTGCTCCACACAAACACAACAGACACAAATTCATCTCAATGGAGGCTAAATTTTATCGACTTCCAGGTACAAATATAGTGCCGCATTTGCTAATTTTAAAGTCAAACACCAATGCATGAAGAGGTGTGTTGATGAAGGGTTTCTTAAATAATTGTTTTCTGTTTTTTATACAGATTCAGGGCTTTGGGTTGGCCAACAGCACAAACTTCTCCTACGCCAGTGACTGTGCAAGCTTCTTCACCCCAGCAATTTGGATGGGACTGGTGACTGTGCTCCTTACGCTGCTAATTTTAGTGTACGGTCTGCACATGATCATGCAGATTAACACCATGGATCGGTTCGATGACCCCAAAGGCCCATCAATTTCAGTGCCTCAGTCAGAGTAAATCACTTTTTTACTTTAAAAAAAAAAAAAAAAAGTAAGAACATCCACTCCTCAGTTTTTGAGTGCCCCTTTGTTGATCAAAGAAAGTATCCCTTTGCCTTCTAGCTTTTGTGTTTTTGGGTCTTTTTCTTTAATGTATGTTTCTTTTGAGTCCTTCCACAGTTATTTTGGCACATTCCACGTCATATTGCCATATTTTACAGGTTCCAGAGTGTATTTTTAATGACTATTATTTTAGAGCGTGTGCCAGATACAGCTAGTATTTTTACTAAAATAATTTTCACACATATCATGGAATGACTTCCTTGCCAATACGAATGTGATCGCTAAATGCTGTAGGACCGTTTCAGACCTCAGTTCTTAATTTTTTATTTTAATTTCACTGGCCTAACTGTAATTTAAAAACTACTGTTAATGAAAGAAGTGCCTGTGTATATAAATGATCATTTGTGATGTGTTGTGTAGTGCTGCTGTTTTTCCCAATAACATACCTTGGATTCAGTTCTGTGGCCACTTGTCATGGCTTAACATTGGATATCAGTGTTGCCATTTTTCTTGGCAAGTAATTTATTTGTATAAAAGGACTTCATTTGCCTTTAAGGTTTACCCTTTGCTTCTGGGTTATCAGCTATTTTAATAACAGTGCCTTGTTTTCAAAAAAAAATATTGACGTGCATTTGCAATGAAGTACAATATGATTTGTTTAATTGCAAATAAATCTATAAATTCCTAAGTAATTCTGAAGTTGTGGGCCCCTCAGTTGCAGTTGTTTTATTTCATTATTTTGAGGTCATATACAGGCTGAAAGATACTTGCAAACTAAATGCAGGGTAAAGCGGATGTTTCTGTACGACAGGATGGGCATCGCTACTTAAGTGGGGAAGCGTCTTGAAATTTAGATATGCAAATTCATAAAACGAGAGAGGTTCAATGTTTTGCATAAATCGCTGGGATGAAAAAATGATGTGTATTAACTGAGTGCAGTTTTCCCAACTCTTGATCAAGCATAAATACAAGCTATCCGCCACGCATAATGTAAATTTAAGCCTATCGAAATGTGGGAGCTTTAATAAAGTTGACCAATCAGCGTTGAACAGGATATGCTGCTCGGTTGCCATAGTTACAGCAGCAGAAACGCTACGACGGTCAGAGGTGTTGGACAGCTAGAAAGTAGCTAGCAGTATTTTTCCTCCTACTTGGGTTTTCGTTACGTTACCAAACGTTTGCTTCAACGATGCTGACCGCTCCTGCTCAGAGAGTATGTTTTGGGAGCTCACTGGAGAGGAGGCTGTTTCCTCTCCATTACGCGCCAGACCGGCTGGGAAACCAAATGTCACAACAGGGACCGCCACATGTCGGCCCGGGAAGCTATGACAACCACGAGGTTTGTGTGAGAGAGAAAGAGTCAAGGGGTACTTTCAGTAGCGGTTTTAGATACGGGCGGTTGCCCGGGGCGGCATCGTGGTGGGGGGCGGCATCACGGGCATCGGCAAAAAAAAATAAAATAAATAAATGCTCGTACTCATGCTGCCCCGACGTCAGCCAACGCATATTGGGAATGGCATAGGCACCGATCGGTTTTCTGTCGCCCATTTCCTGGGAGTAAGGGCGCCCTCCGTTTGCGAGGTGCGCCTGCTGCTTGCGGCGCAGAGAGGAGAGGGCGGGGGATTCTCTGACCAGCTGGAGCAGCATCTAATAACCAACTCGCAAAATAAAACAAAATAAAAACAAACCAACAAACACGAAAACACCAGACATTATGATACAGACTTATAATTTGCACCGATGTTTTTTCGAAATTCTATAGAAAAGTGAGTGCGAGAGCCCTCGGTGCACCTGCTTGCTGCTGAAGTCAAAGTAAACTTTATTGTCATCTCCGCTACAGTCCAGTATATAGAGAGACGAGACGACGAGGCCCCAGTTACAGCAGTGCAAGTAAACAAACAATATATATAATATGTTTTGTCTGTTTGTGTGTGGGGGGGGGGGGGTAGAGGGAGTGTTCGCCCAGGGCGCCAAACAGGCTAGGGGCGCCAAACAGGCTAGGGCCGCCACTGGGTACTTTCACAAGTTGTTTTACATTTTTTTCCCCTTTCTTTCTATGCATGCAGTTTTTATGTCCACGTGACCGTTAAAGTTAATTTAGGTGATGCTTTAAAATAAGTCAGCTACAGTAAGTGCATTGAGATGCAGGCCAGCTGCGAGGTTTGATTTTTCGGCTGACTTTTGGTGAATGAATGGTATATTCAGAATAATTATTTACATACTTGTTTTGTAAAGTAGTGCTTCTAAATGTTTGTTGATAGTTTGCCTTGCTCATTAACATCTGCTTCCTCTTCCTTTAACGGCTGCACCCTTTAAGTATCCATCTGACCCAATATTAATATCCTCTTCTGTCACACAGACCCTCCTCATATCCTCCTTTACTACATTCATGAAGCTGCTCTGTGGTCTTCCTGTTTTTCTCCTGTCTTGTGCTTCACATTCAACATCCTGTCTCACCTCAGCCTTGCCCCTTTTAACTTTGTTTCCACCTTCTCCAAACCACACATTGTAGCAGGTCTCACTACCACGTTGTAAACCTGCCCTTTCAACTTTGCTGCTTTCCTTCTGTTACAAATCAACCTGCTCCACCTTGCCTGCACTCTCCTCTTTACCTCTCTCTTGTATTTTCCATTAATAAACTTGCCCTTTCTATCACAGTTTGGCACCATACTTTATGACATACAGAAGACACCTGGGAGTAAGAAAGGATATAGTCTCTCTGCAAGGACTGCTGTGCGCTTTCCGCCTTGTAACAAGGTGCGTTTACACAAAGAAGTTTCCTGTTATACTGAGAGCACATTAAGAAGTGTATTAACAGCCTTACTGTATATCAGCGTAAGGGTCGTTCCACTTGGACTGTCTACAGTGGGGCAAAAAAGTATTTAGTCAGCCACCGATTGTGCAAGTTCCCCCACCTAAAATGATGACAGAGGTCAGTAATTTACGAATAAATTCTTTACAAATCCTACCATGTGACTTCATGGATTTTTTTTTTTTCACATTCTGTCTCTCACAGTTGAAGTGTACCTCTGGTGCAAATTACTGACCTCTGTCATCATTTTAGGTGGGGGAACTTGCACAATCGGTGGCTGACTAAATATTTTTTGCCCCACTGTACTTACAGCCTTCGCCTGTATTAACAATGGTCAATGCCTCCAGGACTTGAAACTAGCTCCACTGCATAAGTGTCTGAAATTTGTGTCATTTCTAAGGCCAGCAGGAGTGGTTACAAACATAAGTTGGTTTGCAAAAAGAGAAGCCTGTGAGAAAGCCACTCTACTGCTCCCTTGATTTCTTCTTTGGAAATCCTCTCATGAGTTCAGTCTTTTTTTAAGGTTCAGATTTTGATATATTACGACAGTTTAGCCCAAACCTCTACATTTATTTCCATGTTGCCATGAAGTGACTATCTTAGGACATCTTCATATTGCCCAGCGGTTTCTTAAAGGTTTTTTAGTTGTTATCATGGTATTGTAATTTTTAAATATATTGGGGGTTTTTGAGGCAAAAATGATACTAGGACGATAGAATGTATAAAAGATGGAGGGAGCTTCCAGGTCTGACCTCTGTGGCTGGAAAAGGACTTCCAGTTGGATAGAAATTGGCCTTTGGCCACCTTGCTCTGCATCCTTAGTAAACACGTTCCTGTTAACTTTGGGAACTCGTGCACTAGTTTCTGATTATATTGAACAGAAGATTAAGTCAGTTTTTCAAAATAAGATCATTCCAAGAGTCAGAAAAGAGCTTAAGTTCAATTTGTGATGAGTTTGTGGTTTTACAGTTAAATCCACTCCTCGGTTATCACATCTGATATGAAAACACCAAGGTGGCAAAAATGCCCAGCTCAAGGCCTCATAAGAGGACTTCATCCAAATTTTACACCATTGATAATTAGGATGAGTGAGTAGAGTACTAATTTATCAACTGTCATTAGCAAACAGACAGGACAGGTGCTTTGCAAAGACATATACTTTGTAATTAGTGTTAAGTAACAGACTAACAGAAGACTGGAACTTTGCTCACCTAAAATTAAGTATAAACATGTTGGACAAACCATGTTTTATGGTTTTTTTTCAAATGCTTCGAAAAGGACTGAGAGGACACAAGAGGTTCAGTGATTCAGATGAGTTCCAGGATGTAAACATGCTTAAAAAATACTGTAAAGCTGGGAATTTTATCATGGAAGTATTTTATGCTTGCAATTTTCATCTTTTTTTACACAGTTAAAGTTAGCTAAAGTTGTGGGGTATGAAAGAATAAAAGTGGCCCTTCACTTAATATAAAGTTGTTGATGTGAAAATGAAATCTTTTCCTGGTTCTTAATGGGCCTTTGCTCTATGACTGTTTACATTAGCATGACTGGTCTGCTTACAGTATTGGCAATAAATCTTCATTACTCTGTCAGCTATCTGGTGAAATTAAAACCAAATTAAGTCACATAGTTAGAAGTTGCTGTATTCTACTTGTTGGGGGGGTTGTCAAAACATTTTCTGTGCAAGTATAAACCTGCTACTGGCTTTTTAATATGTAATGCTTAATACAAGATCTTTATAATCCTTCTGATCACCAGGCAGTGACCCCTTCACCGTGGCAGTACCAGCAGGATCAAAGTGGTTCTAGGGTCTCTCCTCCTGGCAAAATAGCTTTCAGCTCAAAAGCACAGAGGTTCAAAACCACACCATGTACATCTGAGAGGAGTCCAGGGTGAGACACAGAGAAACTGACACGTGGCAGAAATGTTACGGTGCTAAACTGAGCTGACAGATGTTATTTTGTGACACAGCCCTGGGACGTATGCCCACGACAGAGTGACAAACAGGAAAGTGAGCTGGCCCATGTGCTTTGGGAGACCAGACTGGTCCAGCCTGCCTCAAATAGGCAAGAAGTCACTCAGGGTGAAGGTGAGCGAAGCAAGTTGAGAAATTTCATGGCCTTAATTTTGCTGTTACAAAAACTTAAAAGGCACAGCCAGCTTATACATAAAGACCACAGATATCTCTCTAGTATCAGAAATGTTGTCTCTCTGTAGATGTGCTGATTCTATGCACGATTACTCAGATAAACTGTTAGCCTTTAATTTGGTGTAATATTAGGTGTGCTCGTCACCTATACCTGTACAAAACTACATGTTGCTGCACCAAAAAAATAGTGATATACATATTTTATTTTCCTCCCACAGCTTGCCAGTGAAAAGGAGTACCTTAAACAGAGGAACAGAGTGGCCTACCTGAGTTTGTACTATTAACCCTGAAGGTCTTACATGGAAACCTATCATGACACTGGCGAAGCAAGAAGATGTTGTTTGTTTTTTGTCTTTCCCCTTAAAATATAAACAAAATATGAACATGTAAGGGTTTTTTTTTCTTTTTTAAAAGAAACTTAATTTCCTTTAATTACAAAATGACAGAATTCCTATGTGACCTGTATGTTACATAAAGATGTTGCTTACAAAATAATGTAGGACAGATTTTTAAACAGCTGAAAAGGTGACACTTAACACAACAACAAAAAAAAGCCATCTTCTGTGGAAGTCAGTCTGCAGTACTGGTCCCGCTGCTGAGGCAAAGCAGTCGCTGGTCTCAGCTCACGCAGCAGGTTTCAACCCCGGGCCACTTCCCCTGTGCAGGGAATCACTGACTGGACTGTTGTAAGCACCAAAGACTGGAGCAGATATGAGTCTGTTTCTTTAAGTTTCGTCCCTTCTCATTTCTTCCTCCTTACTTTGGGTTTCTTGACCGGCCGGAGGTACGGATTGTCGATTACATTGTCCTCACTAGCCTTGGTGGATGGAACTACGCCGCTGGGAGGAAGCATGGAATTCTCTTTGTCAGCTCCTGGATCATCCTGAATGATGGAAATGTAAAACAATATTAGCAGTGGTATATTTGAAGGGCATTCTGGGAAACTTCTTGCTAACTGTTGGCATAGGTACCAACGTATAACTACATGGTAAATAGAAAACTTGAATCAGAGTTAAGTTAGGGTTGGATGCAACCTGTTATGATGTAGCTCTGGGTGTGGGCTTCATGCAGATGTATAAATGCCACTTTAGATGTGATTAGCTTAGCTGAACATAATGATTGCAATATGGACACACGGGTACCCTATCAACACACTGAAAGTAATTTACACAATTATGAATTCATTGAAATCAAAGTAATGAAAGTTTGATTTCCAGCATTAACCAGGATACTAATGATAAGTAATTAGAGCATGAAACATTACTTGTTTGTTTAATTTTTTGGTATGTATTAAATGAATGAAGCACGTTTCCTAGCTTCAGAAGTGCATTAGCTTTATTTTAATATTTTAGCTGCTAGCTAATTCATCCCATTTCTAGTCACTCTGTTAAGCTGAGCTGTTCCTTGGCTGTATTTTCACATTTAAAGGGGGGCTGTTATGCACAACATTCAAAATAATCCTTATTAATCTTTTACTGGACTCTTTGTATGCCCCCCTAAATTCAAGCAAGTCAATCCCCAGAAAAATCCAGCCACCTTAAATTTGGCAGCACCTCCTAAACAAACTGCAGATGGCTGGGGCTTCTGTGCTCACAGCCAGAGCTATGTGCTCTGTTAAGGATATCCACTCTTACATCTCTCTCACCATCATACAGAGCCAAGACCCTGTGAGCGAAAAAGCTCAGGCTTTTGGCTCACAGATCACCTGTGCTGAATCTTTGTTTGAAACTTCTTTAATATGAGCATCCACCATTATAACAGACAGGGTAGAAAATAAACAAGAAGCATTATAGGTCCAATTTAAAGGGTAAATATGAGGATGATATCAACTTTCAAGTATACATTTTCAGCATAAACAAAACTCTCCCATTTTAAAACAATTACTTTAAATTGTGTGATGTCTTGATGGCAACAGAACTCAACCAGAACATGGAAATGCACTATGACTTCAGTTTCATAAAGCCTCTTTTTACTTCGAAATGAGCTCAAATAAATGTTCACAAAAGCTCCATTATTAAAGTTTATGGAAGGCTTGAGTAGCTTTCAGTTCCTAAGAAAATCTACTGGTTTTCTGAGAAACTTCTCCCACGTGTTTGCTAATATACTTGAGCATCTGTACTGAGACCAATATTCTCTCTGAAAATCTGATAACCCTGTGCAACTAATGGAGCTTAATACTGAAAAAAATGACCCTGAAGTTCTGTTATCACGGTAATGAAATAGATCAGATTCTCACTTAAATTTGTTCAGGCTAATCTGCAACAGATCTTTCCCTGTCACTACAGTAACAGTAAGAGAAGATCCACAAACATTTAGAGATCAGATGATTCTGTACGCCTGCCAGCAGCAGCAATTTTTTTTTCTGTTCCTTAAAATTTCAATGTGTGATACAATTTTAATTTAACAAAGATTCAGGATTTTGTGAAATATCCCAAGAAGATATTAATTTGCTTTACAATTTCTGTTTATACCATATATACTATATATATCTATGGCACACCAGGTCCCGGACATGGAGACTTACAGTAATGGCGTTTCCTGCTGTGTTCTCGCCATCAGTCTGGTCATCCTGCTCAGAGGAGTCCGTCTCCTCCAGAGCCTGCAGTTCCAGCTCTGAGGGCAGGAGGGCACTGAGATATGGGATGGTGCTCGGCTGCGCTGCAATTACTGATGACAATCACAGGAAGCAGAACTCGTGAAAATGCAGCATGCTTCATTCAGTAATCACAAGACATAATCTGGCTTTAAATAAAGATCAGCTTACTGAGAATCACTCACATGGGAAGGTAGTGATGTCATCTTTGAATAGGCTTTGAGTTTCTCCAGTCTTGGCAATGAAGCGTGTAAGTGCTCGTTCCACGTCTCTCCTCTGAGTTGCTGCTTTCTCTCTCACCACTTGGTAGTCTGACACGGGTTCTCTGAAAGTCTACAGGAAGAAAAACTCTTAAGTGGCTTACTTTTTAGCACAGTTCTACTTCTATAATACACAATCCAGCTTTCTAGGGATCTCCATGATGAAGTGGAAAAGTTCTGACTCACAGGTGTTTTGATATACGTGTGAGGGTCGGGGAATTCTGGGAAGTGGCTGGGGATGTGGGCTGGATGTGTGCGCTTCTGTCCAGCTGACAGCGCTTTGGGAGTCACAGGAGCATTTGTCACTGGAGCTGAAATTAAAAAACAAAACATTTTTCACATCTAAAACCACTGGATCAAAAGGTCTCAAGTCATTCATTTTAATACTAATAATGGAGAGCTGAGTTCCTACTTACGGGCAGTTATGACCATCCTTTGTGATCTTTTAGCATATATGGGCAAAGTATCAACATTGAAACCTTTAATGACACAAGCAGAATAAATCGAATCAGTATTGTGTTCCCTTAGCAACGTTTAATCCATATGTGTTATAGGAGGTCTTACCCATTTCAATAAGCGTGACCACTGTGTCTGACAGTGTCGGGACGCTCCTGGCTGTGTGTTCACAGTATGCTTTGGCACATCGACCTATTTCAGTAATATCTAAAAACAGAGAAAAAATCAGTTCTGTAAACATGAATCAACAACCAACTGCAAATTCAAGAAACGTCTGCTCTGAAAATAGTCTACAGGGGCTCAGTTATGTCAGTTTCTCAGCTTTTTTTCACCAACTTCAACCAAAATTATTCCCATTGGTGTTTATTTAAGAAAGTAGGTTAAATAAAGTGAGGTGTACTTGCACTGGTGTTCAGATATATATTGTAAAAGTGGCACTTAAAGATTTACAGCTTTCCCAGTGGATGGTGTACACTTAAAAATCATACATACAGCTCTGCAACATCTCAGTTAGGGTTTCCACAGCTGCCTTCTCCGCACTCTCGAAGCCACTCTCAGTCAACAGGGCGCTGACAACGACCTGCAGAGTGCGACGGCGTGCCAGGAGGTAGTTTTCTGCAGGGCTAGAAGTTGCTTTACCAGCACTTCCTCGCTGGAAGTAAAATAAATGTGAATAAGGGTATACAACAGAAATACATAGATATGCTGTTGTCTTTATGAGAAAAATATCTCACTATAGTCACAACACACTTGGGACTAAAGGATTCTTTAAAAGGCTAAATAAACAGACACATGGTTCCAGAATCTTTAATTGACTTACAGCTAAGGGGCACATGGACATTAGCTTTTGTAATTTGAAGTAAAACAAACAGAGAGTAATGAGCCAAGCCCTGCAAATTTACCACACAGTGTATGCTATTCCCTTTGCTTGGTGGGCACACCAATATGCCAACAATGTGCACATACACTACGGTTATGAGGGCTATTACTATAATGTTAGAAATAAATGTGAATTTTAACAAATATAGTGGCAAGGAGCCATTAAACCTACAAAATCGTCATATTTTCTACATTTCACAAACATTTCTCAAGAGTCCTTACTGAACAGACATATTAAACATTCCCAGTGCCGGTGGTGAAAGTGGGAGAATATTTGGGCTCTGGGTGATTTAAAAAGACGTTTTGTTTATCTGAATCAATTCTATAATGATTAATTTTATGTTAATATTAAAATGTATTGTTCTAATTCATCATCCAGCTCTTAGTGAGCTTAGGATGGTGGACATGTTTCTGTAAGATATATTTGTGTAATTGAGAGATTTAATTTTTGCCACTGCAGCAAGCTGCATTGTCCCTGAGGTACTAAAGCAGCTCCAAACTGCAACGCTCACTCCATTGATTACACTGGAGACCCTGCAACAGTTCTGAGTCAAAGTGATAACACATACTGCAAATGCTCACTGAACCTTCCCCAACCATGTGGACAGAAAACACGTTTAAAATCTGCTGCTGTATTTATTGGGGAAAAAAACAACAAACAAACAAACTGGACTGTCCTCAACATTTTGAATCCAGACGTAGTGGCATGGTTAGCTCATGTAAACGTCAGGGATTTCAACAAAGATCAAACATTTTTTTGAATTTTCGTTTTTTTTCCGCCAGCATTTTTAGATCCAAATAGGCACGATTTATACTTTATAGGCCAAACAAAACAGACAAACATTAAAGCTGCCTAGGGGTGGTCTGACTGTTGGATTTCTTTGTATTAGTGTAGGGTTTTTTGTCTATAATATAGAGCGCCTTAAGGGGGGGGGGGGGGGGGGGGGGTTGCTGTGAATTGGCACTATATAAATAAAACTAAACCGTACTGAATGGTTGTGCCACTTTATTATTAATAATAAAGGTGCTACATAAATAAACTGACCTTGTCTAAAATATTATTAATAGCCATCCCTTGTAGTTAGCAGACAGATGGGAACCGCTCGAACGGTTTGTTGGTCTACCCCAAATATCAATGAAAAATACAAGAAGTGTTGCTAAACCCTTCATTCTCCCTAAATTTAGTGTTTGTGATATTGGTATAGACTCTATTTGTTCACACCTGTAATTTAGATGAGGATGTGCCCATATGTTAAGACTAAAGAACATGTGAAACGTACCTCTTCCTGTCACTGTAAGGACACAAACATTTATTCAGACAGGGTAAGCACTGACATAGATAAAGTTAACCCACCTTATAGTCTATAAAAACGTATTTCAAGCTTTCACCGGACTAAATCATATTTATTTAAAGTTGTTAAATCGAATTAGGACTTCAGTGCAGTCTGACTGTTAGCCATGCACCGTGAATCCGGCTCTACATGCTACATCCGCCTCCTCTCCGTGACCCAAAAAACATTTCTTACCGCTCCCGCATTCAGAGGGCCTCCCGACGCCACCGCAGGATCCGCCATCTGCAGTTATTGGAAATCTCCTCGTTGTTTTGAGCAGATTTATATTTGTATCTCTCCGAACACCGTTTAGCCGCCGTTGGTAAACACGGCACGACTGTATGACGTTATTTCCGCCGTATCACGATCGTATCACACACGTTGTTTGTCTGTCGCCCCCGAGTGTTCATCTGTAAAATTACACCTGCTTCAACTTGCTTCTAATTTGTGAAAATCCTCTGCTGTAAAATTAATATAACAGGCTTTTAGTTATTTGTAATACAAAATAAGTACTTGGAAAAGGGTATTTGTGATACTTTTTAAAATATATTTTCCAGTCATAGTTCTAAAATTATTGCATTAAATGAAGAAAAATGAGATTAAAAGATCAGTTGCATCTTTTTAGTTACATTTTCTCTCTTTTTGCTAATTATAACATGAGGTCCGCTCTTTGAAGTAACCTACCCCACAGATTATATTAAAGTCATGGTCTGAGACAATTGTTTGGAGAAAAAAATATATTTTTATTAGGGTGCAAAACAAATTTAATCACACACATTCCACTTTTACATCACATCTATCACATCACATTCACAAATATCTGCTGCCCAGCAGCCAACGTTACTGTAACCCGCAGTCTTCACTGTATCTCATCTCATTTTTTACCCAGTCAACAGGAGCAAACTGCACATTTAACCAATTTTTGAAATAATGAATGGGCCATTTCCGCACAATGACTTGATTTACCAACATTACCATCATCTCTAGTGTCCATTTATGTGAAGAGGAGAAAGTTTCTTTAAGAAGCATGTAAGCGGTTGGCTGAGCTTCTCCGCCTTGAAGTCAAAAGATATTTGGCTTTTTCCTCGGGCATTACTGTATCCACCACATCAGCAACTTCACTATCAGCAGAGGCAGTGTGTGGCTTCAGCACCTGCTTCTTCTCCTTCTTCTTCAGGATGATAAGCTCTGCTGGTTCATCCTCCTCAGTATCTCTCTCCACAAAGGGCAGGAAAGCCATCTCTACCAGTCCCCCGACCATACCAAGCATTGCCAGAGTAGAGCCGAGCATGTAGATCTTCAGCATGCTCCGGCTGGGTCTCTGTGTCAGCATTTCCTTAGCAAATGGGATGATCTCGCCAAAGTTTTCCATATTGTGTTGTCGATGAGTCTGTTAAAAGAAAAGGAACAATTGTAACCAGATATTCTGTAAACAGAACAAAGATTTACTCCTGACAACTAATCCATTTAATTAAAATGCAAAAATTCTACTATCCACAAAAAAAGAGAATAATACTTACGTCGAAGCACACGCACAAACTCTCTTATTCTCTTTTTCTGTGCGTTCTGAGTAATCAGGCTTTGCAGGCAGAGGCAAAGGCAGAGCCTGCATATTTAAACCCAAGCAGGGCCAGGTTAACGCCCACACTGGGGACACAATGCATATTCATGAGGCCACTTGTACTCCAATTGTTTTGTTGGAGATTAGAACTTGTTTGGGTAAAAGGGCAGACACATCCAATCCCTGTATGTGATGAAATGCATGTGATGTGACATGTTGCCTGAACTCTGCATGTGCAGTTCATGCAGTAAACATTATATTGTTCTGACAGTAAGTAATGCTTTGCAACATTAGTTGGTACTCATTAACTTCTTCAAGCACACACAGGCACGCCTTCTGTTTAAGAAAAGTTAAAAATAAATAAATAAAGGATGTTAACATTCAGACAGTTAACATGTTACGGACCACTGAACAACAACAGTCCTGGGTTTGTGCTTTGTTACCATGCATATTGATCTTTATCAGGAGAGCTTCATTAGTGTCCAATAAGAGTATGCTAGGCTGTGGAAAGCCAGCCCCATTTATTGGTTAATAGTTATTGTCTGACAACAGTATTGGTTACACATGGAATACCCCCTATTGAACAGCAATAGATAAGCCTCATTAGAAGATAAGGGTCAATAGAATCCCCCAAATCATGCTGTCCTGAGCTGCTCTGCTCCTGTACCTAAATCTGTCCAAAATGCTGACAGTACATGCGTGTGTACGTGTCTCAAACTCTCTGCACTTTGAACCAGTTCCCTGCTGCACGAGAGAAGAGTAGCGAGTTGGGAAATGTGTCTGATCTTTGTCACAGAGACATCATCACTGAGTGAAAATGACAACCACACATTGCTTCAACATCTGTACACCAGATGAATCATGCTTAACATTTTATCCAGTTTGACTTTTAGCTGTGCTGGTAGTGACCAAATAAGTTACACTTATTATTAGTTTTGTAACTGTCACATTGCATATTAATATAATTCTCTAAGTAAAATGCAGCAGTTATACAGATTACTCATGACATTACATTAAAGTAATGTCTCAACTCTGTATATTTTTATATATTTTATTAATTGTTTACTCTATTTAATTTGTAAACTATGTGTACACACACACACACACACACACACACACACACACACGTAGAAAAATATTTAGTATACACATCCAGAAATGCATATACTATTATATATTGTACATATATTTATTAGTTTCAGATGTAGCCATTCTTGTATTTTGCACAACTCTGTTGCTTGTGAAGCTCGCACACAAGAATTTCACTCACATGTGCTGTACCAATGTACCAGCACATGTGATGTGACAATAAAAGTGATTTGATTTGATTTGATAAAGCATTATTTTTTCAGTACTTTGAGATTTTGAACTGAAAATGGAGGTGAAGATTCTATGTAAAGAATTTCATACTAATACATCAGGTCAGAGTAAAATACAGGAGAAAATGCTAAAAAGTATCCACACTGATTCCACTCTTCATAGCTAATCCAGGGACAACCTTTCACCCCGTTTGTCCACTTTTGGATTGCAGAGTTGCCTAAAATATTGCAGGTAATAACGCAATAATTACGCAGTCGATAATGTTCCTCTTTGAGCAACTCAGCTCTGGGCATTTATGTTTGCCTCTGCTGGGAAAATGTTGAGACTGTTTGGAGACCTTTGCTCCATTTTTTTGTCACTTCTGCTTGAAATGAACAGTCTGTCTCTATTCTGGACTTCACCAAGGCACCATGCTGTGGTTGAGGGGGAAGTTTTATGACAAATGTGGATGTGAAAACTCTTTCAACAGGAGCTAAGGGGAGAAGGAGTTTAGATCCACAGTATTTAAAATGTTTATATGTGAAAGGAAAATTACACACACAGTGACTTTTTTATTTCAGAGATTTTAATAGTGAGTGTTTTACCTGTAACACAGTGTTTGCAGGAAATTCATAAATGGGGTGAAATGAATAATAATCTAAAGCACCCTTTAAGTCAACATACATTTCTCAGCTTTTGACTCCTATTCACATCTTATAATAAAAGCTGTTTAAACCTGGTCACAAAGACATGTTTTGTATCTGTTGGCTTACTTGGCTTAATTTACTCCGTCTGGAACGTGCTGTTCTAAGTACGCTGCTCCTTGTAATCCTGACTGTGCTGGAAAGGCTGAAGTACAGAAGTACAGCCTGCTAATTGGCTTGCTGGTTAGATTAACTGAGGTTACTAGCTCAGGTTAAATGAGTCCCAAATATGGTGTATTTATATTAGGGTGATGCTTAATAACATGCAAGTTTGCAGAAAGTTGCAGAAATTAACAAGAAGAAGAAAAAATCTATTATTAGAAAGTAAACACGTCTGAACAAAGCCTGTTCAAACTGTAGCCGGAGTTTCCTGTTGCCTACCTGGCAGGGATCCAGTGTGGCCTTCTGCTGCTGTAGCCCATCAGCTTCAGGATTCAATGTGGTGCTAAATGTGCTAAAAAGGATCAGTATTTTGTAAAATATGCAGACCAACTCATCTGGCACAAGCAACAATGCTACGTTCAAAGTAACTTACTGCAAATCACCTTGCTTTGTATTCTCATCTTGACCATGCATTGAGCTGCCTGCTGATTATACTGTGATTGATTAGCTAGTGTATGTACTGGCAATAGCTTAATTTAATTTTGCAAAGTCTACCATTAATTTGTTTACCAGGAGTGAAGGTAAAACAACCACAGCAAAACAAATGCAGATCCTTTATTTTTGAGTATACAGGATTCCCAGCATAATACATATATAACATTAATATATGTTAAATCCATCATTACAAAGCACATACCAAGACAAACAGCAGACTGCCCAAAGTAAACCGCTTACAATAAGTGAATAAACATTTCTAACAATAGACTTTACCTGAATGTAAAAGTTCTAGTAGGTTTATGGCATTTAATGAATATACTTGTGGCATTTACACTGTTAATGATAGGTTTGTTTAAATATACATTGTTATATATATTTTTATTTCAAATTTGAATTTGATCTGCTCTATTTTATTTTATTTTTTTTAAAAAAGAAGCAAATAATTAAAAAAATTAATTGGCGAAACAATTAACTTAAAGAAAGTAACAAAAATATGAGACAACTTTACCATATTAAATTACATCAGTATGGCTTATTGGATGCAGTAAGCATGCGGTTTTCTTCAAGTACAATAATTGTAATTGACGTCATTGTGTGTATTATTTTAAGCATGGAACCATGAACACAAAGTGTTCGGATGATCTGACTTCTGCCCCATCAAAAACCAGTGGTCAGGAACATCGTCACCATAAACAACATGGATATTCATGCAAAGCCCGGCTAGAGATGAGCCCATTTAATCCATTGCTTTCCGTCCTAGATCACACAGTTCTGTTGAATACTGTCAAAAATGTTCTGGTTAAAAATGAGACTCGTGCATCTGAGCGTGTGAGTTTCGTTGTGGTTTGTGTACTTTGGTGTGGTTTTGGGGAAGCTTCCTAGGCACTCTCTCCAAAATAAAATGCTCCACACAGACTGTGGATCTCCCACACCGCTTGAATCAACCACTTGTCGTTCTCAGTACCTGGGAGCTGCTGACGCAAACCAGCTGTATGCTGGGTCAAAACAGCAACACTGACCTGTAGAGGGCAGAAATACATTCAGGGTGAGAAATACATTTTTCACCATTAAACTGTAGTTTAATAATAAAAGTGTAATTTAAAAACAGTTTAATGTATTTGTTCATTATATCCACATGCTTTAAGTGTACCTACCAGGTAAAATGTTTTATTTCCATGTAAACTCTGTGCAGCTTTCAC